GTATTATTTTTAAAATAACGTTTATCACAATAAAACATTTAATGGGTTTTCATATAATTTATATGAAACGATAATTAAAAAAAAAATTAAATATGTGTCTTAACAGGTTAATAAACATAATTTGTCAAAATGTATGCACATAATAAAAATCACACTTTTCAAAAGTATAATTTTATTTTTTGGTACTTATATTATATATTTATTAGACTTTTGAGAAATATAGTTGCATGTTTATTAGTGATGCGTAGGTAAATAATTGATATTTATCGATAAAAAAAGTCTATACTAAGTAGACACGTTTAAATCGTGAAGTATAAATTTAAAAGAGCGTATATCAATTAATTTGAGAATAAAAGACAAAGTAAAATATAATGTCAAAATAAACATACTTAAATAACGTATGATTATTTTTAAGCGTTCAAATGTATGTTTTAATTTTAATTTTTTGGTGGGAAATAAAAATTATATAATTTTAATATTTTAAATATGAAATTTCTTTTGAGCAATATGTTCATTAGTAACTATTTACGATTTTGGGAATATAATAACTACACTCATTGTATTAATTCCATTGTGTTGTAAAATTGTATAATATTCATTGTGTAATACTTTAAAGTTGATACTATATATAGTGTTTATGGACATAATTTCGATTACGAATAGGATAAATGATATTTGTTATTTTATATTACAACAGATGTTGTGTACACAGTGCTTTTAAGGTTTTTTGTACTGCCGTGGTTCAATTGGAAACGAACTGGGGATTTCAAACAAGTGCAGTCTTAGTAAAATGGATTGGAATTATATTGTGTATTAGATATAGCTTAACTCAGCCCTAGATCAAATCTCTTATAGGATGGGTAAGATCTTTTGTTAAATGTATTTATGTATGATACCTATGTTGTTTTATAAACCTATAAGTTACAACTTCACAAAATAAGATACAGTACATTTGCAGGGATTTTTCTAAGATTAACAAAAAAAACACAAAATAAGTTCTCAATAGATATAGCTATTCTATTTTGTACATCGTTGTTATAAAATATTTATTCGTCTATTCATACAAAATAATATAACAAATCGAAGGCTTTTTCTGTAATATTAATAAACAATTGCTATCACAAGAATTATATCTGACGAAATATAAGAAAGCATACATAATAAAGGTAATAGGTATTTTTAATTAATATATTTATGCCGGGTGATCCATTTAACCTAAGACACACTCATTATTTAAAAAAAAACTACTATCATTTTGAAAAATTTGATTTTGCTATTATTGATGGCCAGAGTAGAATACAGTGATACTTCGTAAAATTTTGGTCTTCTACACTGTTCCTATTAACTTTAAATATTTACAACTGTAACAAATATAATAAACTAATTTTCCCAAAATTTGATTTTCATAAATCATAATATTTCAAATAATATTATGTTTTGGAATATAAAAATACTGATGCATTTTGTCATCTATACGATTAAAACATAATAAATAATAATAACAATAAAAAATTCAATTTTTTCCAAATCTTATTGTTTAGTCGTCATGACTTAAAATTATTTAAAATAAATATTTTCAAAAATGTTTAGGTCTTCTGAACTAATGAATGTCTCACATTAAATAGATCAGCCACGGATAATGATGTAGGTATATTAATAATAAAATATATTTAAAACCGACACATGGTACCAACTGTAGTAACGTATTCAATCAGCAAGCTATATTTAAGTTTATTCAAGTCAAACACAGTAGTAAGTAGAGAAACTATAATGATTACAATTATTGTTTTACTTGGAATGGGGTTTAGTTTTAAGTTTTAACCACGACATACAATTGCGTGGCACAACACTCACGCGTTAAACTAATAACATTGTGTTTATTGAACTCGAAACGCAGAACTCGACATTAATATACGATAAGACAATACGTTTTTCGTTTTTGCTTAATCTGGGTTGCAATGATAAATAATACAGGGTAATTCGTCAAGCCCACTCATCTTCTTTTATTCTTTAGTTATTGATGTATTCAAATTCAACATTTTTTTTTTTTTTTTTTAATGGGTATACTTCATAAACATATTTTTAAATATGTATTACATTTAAGTAGTTTTTATCATAGCGATATAAATATATTATATATTGATTTTTAAAAGCAAATGTTTGTATATTTTATAAAAATCGAAGTGCGATAATACCTTTAGTTTCCGAATGGTTGAACTTTATTTATTAAAAAAATAATCGTCAATAGTAATTTTATTCTAGGTTAAACAATTATGAAATAAATATGATCCAAAATTTCAAGAATCAGAAATTTAATGGTGCATAATTAAATTATAAAATAGTGGTTCTGGTCTGTTTGGTGAATAATTCTGTAAATTATTCGTTGAAATACTGAAATGAATAGTTTTAAAGCATTCCGGCTATTGTCTATATTTAATTATGATTACATATAATTTATTATATTATATAAATATATGTCTTGTCATTATGAAATGTCAGATTTACTAACCTATGGCCAGCATGTACTATGGGATCACTATAGGCATCAATGTATCCCCATTTACTTTGTAGGATCAAATGGTTTTAACCAACGTTTACAGAGTAAAATCCATTCAAGTTTATACAATTACGCATACTACAACCATAAATTTGACGACCATCACAAAACTCAATGTCACGTGTCAATGTTCGAAGCAATGGCGCATTTAGTATTTCATACGATAAGTTAGAAACACGTGATAAAAAGTATTTTCAATTTCACTTGAAATTTAAATTTGTCATGATGGAATTAATAATTAATTTACCTATATAATAACATAGAATAAGTAGATACGGACATTTTTCAATGTTCATAAATAAAACATATGATTACACCAAAAAATGGTGTTAACTATATAGTGTAGGTATATTATATCATTTTTAGGTAGAATATAAATAATTTTAGTCACCTAACAGTACATTTTTAACTTAAAATGGGAAGTGTATGGGTTTTCTAGATGGATTTTTAATAATAACATTTTAAAAGTTTTTTTTTTATTATAAATTTTTTATTTACATGTTTCACAAAATTGTCAGTTAACAAAATTACAGAGAAAATAAGTGATGATAATAATACTTAAATTTTTGGTATCTAAGTATAAGAAAACAAACGATATAATATCAATATATAACATAAATATATATATATATAACATACTATTGTCTAACTAATTCACCTTTAATTAAACACTAAAAAGTATATAACATATATACTAATTAGTGATATCATATTTCGATGTCTACATTGATATTCAACCAATTTTTTGGAATCGATATTACTAATTTATTAAAATTCCATCTATATCAATTCGTTAGATTTTCTAATTTATATTTATATACCTAACTTTTAACACTTTGATTGTAAACTAATATAAAAAAATATATATCAAATAACGATTAACACATTATTATTAAAAATTTATAAAAATTGAGAAATTATAAAAACTCGGAGGTATTTATAACAGATGAACATTAAATAATATAATTATAATTTAATATTTATTTTTGTTTGTTTATAATATTAAACAGTTTTTTAGTGTATACGATTTCAAAACACTCATTAATGCATTAATAAATACTTAATAGTATTTTTTTACTTATAATTTAATAAATGAAAATACCTTTCATATTAAATTTATAGTAATTTCTTGGGTTTGATATCGATACTTATATTACTTATACCTATATTATCGTTGTGAATCACTTTATAAAATATAACATACACATAAACCATTATGAAGTTTGGTTCATATTATATTATAATAAAATATTATATTGTGGATACTCAACTGTATTTTTTTCAGGTCACTAAGCGCATATAAGCCTAAATTATTATATATACAATGGCGCGTACCCAATACATACCTACGTGTTATTAAAATGAAATTTTGACAAATCGTTAGCTTGGTGCAATTAGCGTTTCCCGGGGGTCCCTATGATATGTGTAGGTATATACACAAAGAGATAATAATAATAATGTCACGTGCGCACACATATAATGTAATATTATATTCGTTATGTTACACATAGCCAATGATATAATAAAGCTTAATTTCGTACAAGACAATTTTGGTAGGGAGAAGGGATTACCTATTAAAATGAAACAACTTAAAAATCAAAAGTATTTAATATTAAAGAATTTGTATTTTGATTAAATGAAAAAAAAAATTTTTTGTGTGACTAAAAATACCACAATCCGCGTATAATATAACATAAAACATAACTATGTAAAAAATTATAATAATTATAGTTTTATTCTTGATTCACAATATATTTAAATATTATGATATCAAATTTTAAAGTCTTATATCACTGTGGTAAATTACTTAGTTAACAATAATTTATTTTTTTAAATATTTGCATAAAATTACACCAGTCTTTTCAGTACTAATATAATACGTATATAACACGAATATTTTCTCACCATATTTGTTTTCTTTAATGAAATGAGTTCTAAAAAAAAAAAAAAAAAGAGATTTTATTTAGAATACTACAGATTATAATTTCAATCTGTATTGCTTGCAAGTTATTTTTCCTTTTACTTTAGAGTAAACGATTGAACTTTTAAGTATGTGAACGTGCAACACTAACTTAATAACATTTTACCGATAATTATATTATTTATATATATATATATAACAGTATTAACGGTTAATTTTTCGTAATTTCAAAAAAGTTTTTCTATCCGACTGTCTATATCAAACATATTATACTGTATGTGTTACAAACGAGCGTCGCATAGCTAATTTCGAAATCCCAGCGTTACGATGACACCGTCATCCCCTACCGTCACTATATCACCAACCATATTGTACAGAAATATCATTTTTTAATCAAAAATATTATGTGTATCGGCAATGATCCGTTAAGAGTGTTAATAGAGTATAATATTTTTATTGTCGTTATCGTTATCGTTTTCTCTCTCCATAAACGACCGTAACGATTGTGCCTTGTCTCCGCAGGTTCGTGTGATGGGTGCGCCGGAAGACCGAGGCCGCCATGTTTGTCAGACGGCGGACGTTGTGCACAGCACCACTCAGCACGGTGCGGTACGGCGCCTGGTGCGGTATGCGACGTGTGTGGCTCGGCAAGCGCGGTCGGCGACCGGCAGCGGCTGTGGCTGCTGCGACAGCTGAGGTGGCGGCGGCGTCGTTGATAAGGCGCCGGTGGCGGCCAGCACCATGGTGGTGTCGTCCGCAGGATGAAGAAGCAAAACGTCCGCACATTATCGTTGATCGTTTGTACGTTCACCTATCTGCTCATCGGCGCCGCCGTGTTCGACGCCCTGGAGTCCGAGACGGAGATACGCCGGAAACAAGCACTGGACTGTAAGTTTCCAGACGACCTATGTTATTAGTATGCGTTCACTTCGCAAAGTCTCGTCGGCGTTTCTTCGCACGCGGTTAGGTTACCTAACCGGCCCACCTCTCTCCCAACACTCACTCGTCGGGCCCAGAACGAAACTAAAAATATTTCAGTCGTAAATAGTTATACTCAAAAGTCAAATCCCATCTCGGGACATATTATTATCATCATACGGTCTGTCGAATGTAGAACTGTAGAACATAATATTTTATAGAACATTTTATTTGCCACAATCGGTTGTTTACAGCTGTTGTTAGATCAGTGATCATACATTTTTTTTTTTTTTTTTTGGACCTTGCGTACTTACGATATATATATTTATTATTTACATAAAATACTATAATATTGTTTTATAACCATAAAATTTACCATTTAATTATTTATTACAATAATAAATTCCATTAGAATTGTAATAAAATAAATAAAAATATATTATTTTTAATATATATAATTATATATTTTTATTTGATAATAGTGTTTTTTAGTATGAACACTCTGTATTGAAATTAGTCATATAGCGCACTACATGGTTATTTTACATCACGATTAATTAACTGCTTTTCTTGAATTATCGACAACTTATCATCACATCATTACTTATATGGAAATTCAATAAATTTTAATTTCTAAACATGACGATTTTAGAGTAAAAAACTATCTATTTTTATTTTTTATATGCAATTTGTTAATACTATTGATAACTTTGTATATCATATCTTAGTTCTCCCAGCACACAGTCCTCAGGAAACAAGTTTCAACAGAACTGTAGAGATAACAAATTGTATCACTAATAGGTACACAACAATAAACAATACATAGATAATACATAAAATCAAAAATTTGGACTTCATTTCAAAGTTTAAGTTATTGGAAGTTTATAATTTATCATGGGAATCACTCGTTAGCCACAAGTGTCAAATGGTTGTGTAACGTGTGCTGACTACAGAATTCCAATAAGTTATGTTTTATTAATTAACTACTATCATGTATCATTATCATAAATGATAACACATTTGTATGGGCTCTATAGATATTTTTATGTTATGTAACCGTAACTGATATACGTAAGAAACGATTACTTATCAATTATTATACTTAACTAATAATGTTATAAAAGGTTTGTAGGAGATGGAGTTTTCCAACCAAAGCCGATTAAAGGGTGTGTCGAACTCGGCATAATATTGACCGTATTAACACTTATCTGCATGAACCAATTATAAGGATTATATACGTAATTATTATATTGTGGTAAATATCAACTTTAAGCTACTACTGCTTCGAAACGAATTTTGAATAACTATTTATAATTATACCATCGTTTTTAAATCGATAAAATACGCAAGTTTTTTTTTAATTTCCCGAGAAACGTGGTAAAGTAAAATTTTTCTGACAATATTTATAAATAAACATAATATTCATGTAAATTATAAATCTATAGTATCTTTTAATTATTTTAGCTAATAATGATAAAAAAGGAAATATTAAATGGAGTATATATATTTTACTATTCAAATAACGATTATACTCATAATATTACTTTTTGATTTACTAATTTATTTCAAAATATTTTTTTTTTTTAAACAGTGCAACAATAAAACAATTTGGTTTATATATTTAAGTGCACTTATACGTTGTGTAACAATTCTATTTGATAAGTGATAATGGGTTATTATAATAATATATTATAATACATTATAAAAGTGTGTTACAGTGTATTTCAGTGTACTACATTATAATTGATTATTGTGAGTCATAAAATGTTGAACCTGTTTGAAATGCAATATATCATACGACACTAGGACAGCACATAATATATTATATATATGCGCAGAAAATTAGGGTATGTCACCCTGCACTTCAGTAGGCACTAGTTTAACATCAAGTCCATAATATCTAAACCTCTATAAATCATCATTTTTGAATAGTGCCGACCAACCAAATTCGTTTCAATCGAAATACATTAAAATTCGGCCTGTGGTTTACTTATTATTATTCGCAAAGAAATATATATAATCTATTGGGGTCATCGTCAATATCTTTTCTATGAACCAGAATATTTTCGAGGTAAACGTTTTCCTTATTTGGTGCTTGACACTGTTGGTTATATTGTATGAATTTTATGTAATATATAACTTCCAACGATGAAAACGTCATATTTTCGGTCAAAGATAGGTAAACGAGTGTGTATTTTATTCACACACGTACTATCTTATATAGGTAATTTTTTCTCATGGAAACTTTGACACTGATAAAACTCCATTTTTATACCCTATCACGTGGTGGCTTATGATTCGTCTTCGGGTACACCCTGTACAAAGGAAAATAAGAATAATAATAATAAATAAACGAAAAGAAAAACATACATTCGTATACACACACAAACACAATACATTGCACGACTTGAGTGCATGTTACGTATTTTCAACACAAAATTCTATCCTCGCAAAACCTTTTTACTTCGTCGTCATGGTTCGACAACGTTTTATAAATGATGCCTTTCTGGGAGAACCCGAAAAAAACGAGTATCCACTTAATATTTCCCATCTGCTTTTGTTAGTCAATACGATTTTGATAAAATACTATGTAATAAAACTATATATATGTAATAGTATGTACTATGATAAATATATATTATAATATAATAGTATATTATCCACACAAAAAAGTTACTACGTACTTGAATTTCGAAAACATTCGTTAAAACTCGAAAATGATTTCCATAATATTACAGTATATGAATCTATTTTTCTAAAAATCCTTATTACTGTTATTTTTGAAGAGTTTACGTCAATTGGTCGTTAATAAGTTATAAGTTTGGTCAAAGTATGTTTTCGTCGCAAAACATGATTATTAGTTTAAAAACATTATGTATAGGTACAAATGGGCAATAATCATTATTATACGTTTTGCTATAATAAGTTGAATAACTGTGTGTACAAATTTAAACTGTCAAGTTAAACCATCTGAAAATGGTTCAATATTTTATCGGAGCGGAAATCCCTAGAAAACGGTAGAAATATAATGACACCGCTGAGAGAATAAATACATTATGTAAAACATCAAATAATAGAACATTAATCGATAAATACATATTAAGGATAGCTCATAATTTATAATACTTTTCACACATATTATTTTTTATAACTTATATTTTTACACATATTTTTATATATTAATTTTAAAAAAATTACGACAAAATAAAATTTTTTTGTTAAATACATATTATTCTGAAAACAACTAATTTTCTGAACAACCAATTTTTCAAAAAACCAATTTACCAAACGATCAATTTCAGAGGACCAATGTTACCACGACCAAATTAATACAACCAATTGACTGTACCCCGTTTTTAAATTATTCATTTTTTAAATACCAATACAATATTTAATTAAATACAAATTTATGTTCAGGTTTTTAATCTTCAATATTTCTACAAATATTTACGAGTACGGCACAATAATCCTGTATGTCAAAATTAGTTTTATAATTGAGGTAAGTATAGTTGTTATGTATAAAATTCCATCCTAATAGATGTAGAATAAATAATATGAGGTAAAATCATATCAAAATCCATAATCTCACCTTAGGGCTATGACTAGATACTTAAGGTAATCTAGAAATAAGTAGGCTTATGCATTAAGAACATATAAAACATATATATATATATATATATATATATATTACTTACGTCTATAGAACTTTAAAGTATTTCAAAAATACGAAATATTAAATAATTTTAACATATTTATTAGTTGAAGCTAAAATTGGTTTCAAAATGACAACAATTTAAATCGATAATTACTGCTGTAATTAATGATGATTTCGAATGGAAACAAACCAAATCTATTTATTATTGTGCTAAATAAAGATAATTAAAAATCCATAAATCATGTTGTCAATTAAATACTTTCAATTTGTTTAAGTTAAAATGAAAAAATAAAATTTAAATATAATAAATGCTTATTTAATGATATAAATTGAAAGGTACAAAATACCTAATTTTATAAATTATAAGTTACCACATAGTTTTTTCATGAAATACGTCAATCAAACATACTCCACGATAATGAATTACACTCACATTAGATACGTATATAAACATATATTATGTACATAAATAGAGCATATTATTATCTCATTATACTTCGACTTAAAAATAGCTGATATACTGTATATCACTAACAGATTCGATTTTTATTTAGTAGTAGTTAGTTAATGATTAAACGTTCTACATTTTCTACCTTATCATTGATATAATAAAATCAATACGAATAACATTACATTAATATAATATTTTACCGATTATATTATATTCAAAGTAGATAAATAATTATATCTTTAAAATAGGTTAATTAATGATTAATTAATGATTATCATACCACAGATAAATATTTCATCAACGTTATTGAATTTCAATACAAAAATATCTTATTCTCAAAGTATAGCTATTATAAAATGTCATCTCTTTGAAAAGGCTTCATTGAAATGTTGCCTGTAAATTATTTCAAATACCATGTGACTATTCAAAGTTGACTTCTGAGTAAACTAATTTCTGAAAGATTATTATTTTATAAAACTCTAAAAATAATTAAAAGAATCAAAGAAGCCATGAACATTTATAACGACAATACATCGATTGAAAAATCAATAATATCATAAATAAAAATTATAAAAACAATTTGCGAAGTATTCTTTTAATGTAAATAACACATAGAATATTTAATAAACAATAAGTAATAACACATTTTTATTGATTTTACTCAATTAATAATAACAACTATCGAGAAATATTGACATCAATTTCACTATTTTTCTTTATATAATTTTACTAAAAAATAAATAAATATAACTAATGTGTTTTGAGCCATATTAAATTTCTTATTATATTAAAAAATAAAAATATTATTTTTTTTTTATACACAATATTAAGTTAAACGTATTTTTTTATAATAAAAAGTTCTTA